AATAATTAATTCCCTTAAAATTAAGTAATCAAAGTCATTACAACATTAAACCAATTATTAAAAAATATTGCAGATGGAATGCATGAATGAAAATCTACCTTGGACTTATAGACTTGTGCACTTATTGATGTGGACTGTAGACCACCAGCTTACACAAAATATATATTCAAAAGTTTGGGGTCAGTAAGAAATTAAGGTCACACTTTATTTTAAGGTCCAATTCTCGCTATTAACAAGACATATGACTTTTCCCTTAATAAACCCCTAATTTGCTGCATATTAATAGTTAGAAAGGTAGTTGTTAAGTTTAGGTATTGGGTAGCATTAGGGATGTAGAATATTCATCAAAAAACAAACATACAAACAAATAAATAAAATCACAGTTTCCACAAAAATATGAAGCTGCAATGTTTTCAACTGATAATATATGAAAAATATGTTCATGTAGAAAACAGTAATTGTAGTAGTTTTTTCACAATATTACTGTTTTTATTGTATTTTTAATCAAATAAATACAGCCTTGGTGAGCATAAAAAAATTCTTTCAAAAACCATTACAAAAAAATCTTACCGACTCCAAATTTTTGAATGGTAGTATATTTTCAGTATGGATATACATTACAAATTACATTGACAAAGTTGCGGGGTTTTTTTTAATGTCTATTGAGTGTTTTCACCTGCCTTAATAATATATTTGAATTATCTTCATCTGGTGACTGTTTTTAGTATATATTTATGAATATGTAATTAAATGACCCTTCGCAATAACCCACCTCGCCATGGCGCTCTCACACCACACATCATGTTCACACATCATGCGGTAAAGCGTTCATCACCACAACTGTGCACAGCGCATGATAGAAAACAGAACAACAATGTGGGTATGTGGGTCCATATTTTTTATTATTGTTATTAATTTGGTGCTAAAATGCACAAGGACACTTGCGTCTTCGCTCTGTGTGTTGCATAAACGCTGCTTTTTGCCGCTCTGATTGCACTCACTATGCACAATTACACTACACGCTAGCTGTCATCCCTTATGTGTGCTTTGTTGAATTAATGACATTGTCATCAGGCTGAAATGCATGCTTTGCCTAAATGTCTGCCATTGTTTTTTATTTTATATTTTGTTAAGGTGTAAGAGGTGTTATGTTTCTGCACTCTTCCATTTTTAGCAAACTAAGAAAACTTTGTCTTAAAACAATTTTTGTGATGGTTTGTATTTTTTGTGCTCTGTATGGAACATCAGTGCCTGTTTAAGTGATGAACTCCATTACTTGTGTTTGTTTCAGACATGATAACAGACGTTTTATACTTGTGCTACAACTTTTTGGCCTGTGCTACAAAACTTTCAACCTCTGTAGCACCAGTGCTATGTGAAAAAAAAGTTAACGTACAGCCCTGCATGCACAGGTTATTTTACTTCCTGAACAAGTGTGCACCCGAGTCCGAGTTGCTTTCGCAATCATGCAAATTGCGCCACAGTTCCAGGGCAAGCAAACTCAGACCACCTCCTACAGGTATTCTCGGATTCGGTACGCTTCCGTTCTGCATGGCAGCTTTCACATTACCATGTTTTCATGCGAACCGTGCCTTGTTTCGAACTAAACTGCCAGTGTGAAAGCACCATCAGAAATGGCCAATTCATTTAGATGGTGTTTCAGAGAACAGTGTCTTAAATATTCCTGGTGAGACAGAAAGGGCTTGTGGAAATGCGCTATCGATCTGTTGATTTCTGCTTCTCAGACCCTGAAGGGCAAGCTCCACAAACTTGCCCTGGAAGGCTCAGAGACAGACAAGCCCGATGGTGAGGAGGAGAAGACAGGTGATGAAGTGCCGAGTCTGTTACAAAGAGTGGAGGAAGCTCTGCATGACATCATTGCTTTGTGTCAGAGGAGCTCGCACGGTCTCAACCAGCAGCAGAGAGAGGTGTGTGTGTGTGTGTGTGTGTGTGTGTGCACTGTCCGATCAACCTGGGCTGTGTTTTTCATGAACAGGATGTATTGATCTTCTTATTCCCGGTTTTACATTTCTCTCTCTCACTGTGTGTGTGTGTGTGTGTGTGTGTGTGTGTGTGTGTGTGCATCAATCTTCTGTCACTCTCAGGCTCTGTGGTTTCCTCTCCTCGAGGCGATGATGTCACCACAGAAACTACTCAAAGGAGCCGACACCAAACACACTTCAGAGAGTGAGACAAACACACACAAGCACTAGTTTTGAGTTTATCCACAGTATAGCAGCAGTCCTCGACCTTTGTAACTCCAATGTCCCTATAAGAATAAATATTCAACAATATAAAAAAAGCCCCTCATTCTCATCCTATGATATTTATTCTCTTACTTCTGAAATGATGACAACGATATTCATTTCCAAATGTTTTAATAACTTACATTATAGTGTGCATGGATTAAATGTGATCCTGGACCACAAAACCAGTCATAAGGGTCAATTTCTCTAAATTGAGATTTATACATCATCTGAAAGCTGACTTCCATTGATGTATGGTTTGTTAGGATA